GTAGTCAGATTTTTCTTCTTTCACACAATTGTATTTACCTGGACCACAAAGTAATGTGTCCACAGCAGATGAAATCAAATGCTACCTATCAAAACAGGTTGAGTGTGTGCAAAACAATTCCTCTCAAGACATGAAAAAACATGAGTTCAGTGAGAGTTTTCCGAAATCCCAATTCTTGAAGTCAAGCTACTTGGAATGATAGTAGTTCTACATCCCATTCCATAAAGCCTCATATAAAAAACAAAATGTGAAAGTGTGTGGGTGTGTGTGTGGGTGTGCTTTGCATATAAATTATTTTTAAGTGATATAATGAGAACCACAGTGAAATTGTCTAAATGTGTATGTGTGTGCACTAGTAGCAAAAAATGCAAATGATTACTCAACTGATGTGAAAATCGTGGGTTTAGAATAAATTTATGAAAGCTACCTTTTAATTAAATAATTTATTTTTTTATTATGTTATGTTAATCACCATACATTACATCATTAGTTTTTGATGTAATGTTTCATGATTCATTGTTTGCATTGTTTTATTTAAAAATATTTTTTATTTCAAATATATTTTATTTAACAGTATGGTAGAAAAATATAAGAAGCATCATTTAAAATATCAATAGACTAGTGTGCACTATTTGCTTTGTATCTGATGCTGTTCCAAATGCTTCATGTAGTGTTCAATTTAATTTTTGTAGCACTTTTTTTTTATTGATGTAAACACTGAAGCACTGAAAGTGACTTGCTCAGGTCCCACAGGCACCTGAGATGGATTTGGGATGCATGCCTGGCGCTATGCCTTGTGTCCTTAGCCACCATGCTTTCCAGACTCCCTCAGACCAAAACCCACAAACTTGTTTTACAAAAATAGATTTGGTGACTTGCTTTTAAATGTAAAACTTCCTATGCCATTGAAAATGGAATACTACTCCAGGAGTATGTGAGACAGCAATCAATTTTCTATCAGTGCTCAATCTATTTATTTAGTTTAACCAGCTGGATTTAGGAAACTCATTTATACAACATGATTTAATGACTGAAGAAAATAGAAACTTCAGTGGCTATGTGGTTTATGCCAATTATAATACTAATAACTCTGTTAGTAATTTGTCTACATAATATAATCTAGGTAAATACAACCAACCTATAAGATGTAGAAGGTGGCTTATTGTATAGTTTTTATGTATGAAATGTTTGAAAGCTTTTCATTCTATCTGTAGTAATAGCAGTTACAGCTATTTGCTTATGAGTGCTTAAGGCTCTCAAGTCAGGAAAAAATCAGTATTCATAGACCAGTTTTGCCCCTTAGTAGGGAAAATGTTCATAGACAAATTATGGAGCCTCGGTATTGTTATCTCTAATGTGGGTGTAATAATGGTATTTACCTCATAGGAGAGGTGTGTGAGGATTATATAAGATAATTTCTTCATTGTGCAACAAATATTTACTGATCCTTATTCTACACAAAGCAGTGATCTAGGCATGATGATTCATCAGAGAAAATAAAAATTCATCTCAAGACTCATGAAGTTTATATTCTGGGATAGGAGAGCAAATAAACACATGAACAGTTATCATTACATAAATAAAATATAAACAATGCATATGCATATAGTACACTTATTTAGTGAGTGCCATGAGGAAAGTATCATTGGCTGCAAAAGCTAATTATTATTATTATTATTTATTTTACATATAAGGCTTCTATGTATTGAAAAGCAAATGTGAAAATGATAACAAAATAAAGTGGAAAAAGAAAAACCGGTGATATTCAGCTTTTCCTTACAAAATATTTAAAACAGAGACATTCTTTTTTTAAAAGATTTATTTATTTATTTGAGAGAGAGAGAGAGAGCAGGGGGAAGGGCAGAGAGAGAGGGAGAGAGAGAATCCCAAGCAGACTTTGTTTGGGGCATGGAGCCCAACCAGGGGCTGGATCCCACAACCCTGACATCATGACCTGAGCAGAAACCAAGAGTGGGACGCTTGACTGAGCCACCCAGGGACCCTTAAAATAGAGACATTCTTAAAAGAACGTTGATTCTTGAGACCTATATATTGTGTAGATTTCTTTCTTTTAATTTCATGAAGATAAAACAGAGACTCCTAAACAGAGTTGATCTCCACGATGCCCTTCTCTGACTCAAGCACATACATGCTCAAGTGTTCCTTGGTCTGCTCTACTTGAGAGCATAGTGTTGATGACATTGAAAAATCATTAATGAAGCTCCCCTCCCCAGGCCCTTCAGCAATTTACATTTCATAAATGAAATCAACAGGCTGGAAAAGTCAGTGCTGCATATGAAATGACAGGCTGTCTGCCTCAACTACTCAGTGTGACGATTTCTTGATTCCATGTCTCCGCAACGCTTGCATGTGGAGCCCAAAATGAAGGGCTCAAGTGACAAATGTTTATGAAAATCATATATGCTGTTATTATACAATAATAATCAATGGTAAAAAAAATTCTAACAATAAAGATTGGGTGAAAGTAAAAATTCCCATTCCCTCTTTCTGGCCTCCAGGTCCCAATCTCCAGCACTAACCAGTTCCTTAATTTCCTGAAACTTCTCAAAAAAGCCTTTTGACTAAACTTAAATATACATATATATTTTTATTTATAATATGTATATTTTATTTATATATACATATAGTTGCCATTTTATATGACTAGGAACAGGCATCTATATGTGACTCAATGAAACCTTTTGACTAAACTTAAATATAAATATATATATTATATTTATATGATTAGGAACAGGCATCCATATGTGAGTCAAAAATTAAAGTCTTAACCTTCAGTAGTAACGCCATCTACAAAATGAAGGCACAGAGCTCTGAATAAGCAAGTAAGCTAATAAAAGTGATGCTCACCTTAGAAAATCCCTTGACAATAATCTCACATAGCAATTCCTGCCTTGCATCTTCAAGGATAAAGACCCAATTCTGTAAGAAAAAAAAGAAAATTGCCATACAATTTAAGTTTATGAGCATAATTTTAAAATAATTAAGCTCTTTCTATATGTCACTTATAATTCTCATTAATTTTACAACATTATTTTCTCCATTGGAGGAATGACAAAATTGAGATGTAGGGTTTTAAGTAATACCCAAGGTCACAAAACTTAGTAAGTGAACTTGCTCTTAAAGCCAGATGATATGATCCAAAGCTTCTTTTTACATTTCCCATAAACTCATAACGTATGAGGTCACGCTGTAAATGCTGTTTGCATAATACCACAAATCAATACTTCCATCATAGTACGAGGGTCCATGAGCACATGCATATTGGACAGTGCATGTTCCTAAGAGTGCCTGTAAAATTCTATATGCAAGATAAAAGTTGGTTCTGGTTGTATTGTATTCATAAAAATATTCTCAACTTTTATTTTTTTCAGAAGATCTCTTGACAAACATTAAGACTAAGATAATTCCATTTCAAGATTACAACGACAATGTGACTGAGGGGGAGAGAGGCATGTGTAGAGTGGGAAGCAAAGCTCTTTCAAATGGATAGCTCTACTTGATGAGCAGCATGTTTGTGAACGCCATCCTAGGACACTGAAATTTTGTTTCTAGCTCTGGAAGCGTGAGATGAATCAATTTCTTCTAGGACTACAGATGCACCAGAGGGAGCATTTGGTCTTTCTCTATTCACCATTTTGTTCACTTACTCATTCATCCTATAATACTTATCGATCATATACCACGTGTCAAATATGTGAACAACTGCTGATATTTGAGTAGCGAACAAGACACAGTTATTGCTCTTGTGGAAATTAAAATCTAAAAAGGGGATACAGACAATAAATAAAGTAAAAAATTATATAAACAAAATTTTATATAACATTAAGGCACATGAAAAGTATTAAGATAGTGTGTGCCCTACCCAATCCAGCAAATGTGCTAACTAAAAAGAGAGGAATGTGTGTTAGGGAGTGTTGAAGTATAATAATAGCAGTAATAGCACTTTTTACAGGATATGCATTCAAGTATTATATGGGAATGGCTATGTAATTATAAAATTCTGCTGTTAAAACAAATGAGGGTTTTTTTCGTTTTTGGTGACTCCAGAAAATGAGACTCTATTAGGCTAGAACTCAAATAAAGCCAGGTAGCACTATCTCTGATAACATAGGCTGTACATAAAAAGTTTCCCAACCATGAGATAAGTTTTCTGCTGTTGGAAGGAAAAATTTTAACTTACTGGAACCCTTTCATTAATCAAAACAAGACTTTATGCCAAGAAAGGAGAACTATAAGACCTAAACAAAACTGCTTAAACAAGAGGAAAAACTTGGAAACATGAAAATATATTCAACCATTACGTTGGTTGGGATGATATCATGAATATTACTTAGTTTATAAAACTATGTGTTTATCCTATACTGATATTAAGTTAGAATGCAGTTTCTAGACAAAATCCATTTCCTAAGACAATGAGAAATCAAAATACTTCATTCTAATAAAGTTTTATATTATTATACTAAACTAAGACAATTTAATTTATCTTATAAAATTAACAACTACTAATAAAAACAAGAATTAGACCAATTTGAAATTATTAAACTAACCACCAGGTGGCGCTCCATGAATTGAGCGTGTACAGTGAAAAATAATAAATTGCTTGAATTGGTTAAATTAGAAAAAATTACCACACTTTTAACCCCCAAGCGGTTTTTATTAATTTTTTATTTGTATTACTTAGAGAACTTCTGAATCATAAGAAATGGGCTCTTATTAAAGACAAGATGCCAAATTACTTAGTATGCTTAGTATGAAATTTTTTAGCAAACTGGATTTTAAAATCAAAGTCCTTTTGCTTAAGTTACTTTATAATTTATTAAGAACACATGTTTCATTGCATATTGATAAAAGCATGTAACTATAATTGAAATTGAGAACAGATGAGAAAAATCTATTAAAACTGATTCATATGGTTTTTTCAAATGCTGATTTTTTTTTCCTGTTTGTTTGTATTTGTGTATGTCTATGCTTTACCCCAGAACGTGAAATTAAAAAAGATGAAAAGATTCCCAAAGCAGGTAAGGACACTTTGTAAGAGTACACATAAATAGATGTTCTGTTTGTTATGAACAAGGCTAGTTTCATAATTAGGGATGGGTAGGGCCTTGAGATGCTCAAAACACTGAAAAAATACTGATGCACCCATCCCATATATTTTAAGTGTAACAAGCAATAAACTTAAAGGTATGTTAAAGTTAAAATAGATTCTGTGTTTTCTGGATAAGGTCATCAAAGCACTGGAACTATTATCATATCCTGGTCCTTATTCATTTAATGGGTAATCGAGCGCCGTTTACAAAGTACTGAGGGGACAATTTGAATTTCAGATCTGGCTTCAGCCAGATCATGACAAATACTTGAAATTTATTCTTACATTCATTGAGCCTTATGAAATCACCTATATTCAACCACAAGAACAGTGGTTTCATATGGGTCAACCTAATAGATCCAACCACTTTTTTTTCTACTAATTAAATATGCAAATATTCTTTGGAATGGTAATCCATTGCCTCCTTGTTTTGAAAATTGGAATACTCTGAAAATAGAATTTCTGAAAACAGTTTCTGTGAGGGAGGAAGACAAGAGATTAGCTGGGCAGTCTTAAGAGAGGCGTTAACAGAAGAAGAAACATCATAGAATATGGTGCAGAAAAATAAAACTAAAAATTCCAATTAGTAATGACAATCTTCCTAGGGCTAACCCTATTCCAAATATTTTCTATCTAATATGAAGATGTTTATATGTCTATATCTACATATGCAAAAGAAGTTTATATCTGAATCTACCCATACAGCGGAAGTTCTATGTACACACAGACATACATACCATTGGTCTTAAAATATTGGTATATACTCATTTTTACAAAGTTTAACTTATGCATAAGTAATACTTGTTTTACCCTTCTATGTATATATTAAATATTAACTTGAATTAGTGTCACTCCTTTTGAAAGTAGTGTTAACATAGCACAAGGAATTCATTGTTTTTAGTGAAAAAACAGCCATTTTGAGTAACTTTATTAGACATTCTCTGGAAGATAAATGGAAAAAAGTGACCAATTTTACACAGTGAGAAAAATGCACAATAGAGATATGATATATTGAGTCTCACATCAAAACTTATGACTGAGCTTTAGATATATTGACAGAAAATGGGAAACTACATATAAAAATTGCTCTATTGTTAGCACTTTTACTGGTGTCAGTGAAAGATTGCTGATCAAATAAAAGGTACATGATGTTACTCCTTCCTGTAAGCATAACACTGTATTTGATGCTTTATTTTACTGTTGGTATGTAATGGGAAAAGTAATATGCACTATAAATTTCCTATTATTTGTTTGCATTAAATATTTATGTCTATTTTTATGTTATATTTATTTTTAACTTCCTAAAGGGAAAGAGAAATCAGCATTAATGGCATATGTTATATAATCAATCAGCAATTTATTGAAAACATATATTATGCTAAATATCACTGCCGTATGTTCAGGATTGTGCTTGGTGATGCAAAACTTACAAACAAGTGATAAGGTATTATTTCCGTCCCAAGAGCATATAATCAAGGACATAGACATGGACTATCAAACAATGGCTACAAGACAAGTCATATTAGTGATGAGTGCTCTAGAAGTCTCGAGGAAGGAGCCACCCTGCGGTCTTATCAGTCAGGGAAAACCTTAGGGAGATGATGGATTTAAGCTAGGACTTTAGGAATATGCAAGAGCAACTGAGACAGGGAGGTGATTACACAGCATGGTGGAAGCAGTGCTAGCTTTAGAGTAGAAAGACATGAATTTGACTCTTTTTGCCATTTGCTAGAGGTGTGACTTAAATTACTTAACATTTCTGAGCGTCAATTTCTTTATCTATCAAATGAAGATCATCATAACAAGCCAGCAGGGTTATTAAAAGAAATCAGTTCGGTGCTTGACATTTGGTTCAGCTTCAGTACATGGTAACTCTATCGAGGAGTTAGCTTAGGAGCAGGATGAGCATGCTGGTAGCAGGAGGCTGCGAGGAAAGGACCAAAGACAAAAGCAGATGCTAGGCACCGAATGAGGAACAGAAGGTGGCAAGACTGCGGCTGTGGCGTGTAGCCAAAGGAGGGTCATTCTGGAAATCCAGGAAAGGGGGATTAGGAGGCCAAAGTGAAAAGTTTGAATTCTTAGAATGTGAATCAGAAGAGAGTAATATCATAGGGCTTATAATGGTGTGTGGGGTGAAATCCTATAGAAAGAATTTTCAATCAGGGGTTTGACTCAAGGGTGTTTTACAGTAATCTAAGTATTAAAGATGGGAGAAAATAGGTAAAAGTAAAAATACATAAAAGTTAAATCATAAGTAAAGATGGAGAAACTGGTATGGAGAAGAAGCAGTGAGGAAGTAAGTTTTGTTTATTTTCAAGGTTATTTATAGCCACGACTACAGTGTGGAATTATTAGGAGTTAAGTTTTTAAGAAACACAGAACTTAGCCACCCATTGAAAATACTAAAAGCATCTTGTTATATATTCTTTCAGTTACATGAACTCATACACTTTAAAAACAGTCATACTCTCTGTACTGCATTATCGCTACGTCTGTAACTGTCAAGCTGTTTCACAGGAAAAGAACAGGCATTGATGACATTAGCTACACTGAACTCCAAGGGCTCAAGCATGAAACAACGAGAAGGTGATCAAACGTAGAGCTTGCAAAGGCAGCACAGGTGGGTGGATGCTAGTAGGACATGCACACAGACATATGCTAGCGACCCTAGGAAATTGGGAGCGTTCACTTGGGATCCTCAGACTAGGTTTGGTATATGTGAGTTTAGACATTTAGAGTTCAGGGGCAAAGGAGAAAAGGAGTTGTTCGAGAAAAAGTAACACAGAGAGGGGAATGAAGGGAACGAAGAACAGCTTCTTGGAAAAGTAGAAGTGGGTTACCTGGAAGACCAGCAAATACAGTGTTTCAGCATCCCAAAACGGGGACCCTTTCGAGAACACGTGGAAAAATCAGCAGTACGAACGTCTCAGAAAGGTCATGAGACATGATGACTGAGAAAAAAACCATTATATTTGAAAAAAGACCTGTCATTTTGTGACCTTTTGGAGAGCATTTTCAGTAGACTGGTGGAAGTAGAAACAGTTTAGAGGAATTAACAAAGGGACTTACCAGTAAGTAGAGGCAGAGCACAAACTACTTTTTCCATGAGTTTGTTATTAAAGAGAGGCAAAACATTTTATTTCAGCAGGTAGAATCAATGAAACATGTTTGTTGTTCTCATGTTGGTCATAATCCCGCAGAGTATTCCAGGGAAAGGAAGAACAAGAAATCCAGAGGGAGATACTGATTAGGAGAGAACTGTCCCAGATTTGAGAGAAGTTGGGACACTCTAGGTAGAAGGAATTAGCTTAATTATGAGGAAGAACAAAATACCCCTGAGCTTTGAGGGAATAATGAAAGGGGAGATTAAAGTTGAGCATACATGAAGGAGGACACTCCAGCAGAATGATCTTTTCTCCTAAAATCTTTGTGCGAAGGTGACCACTAACATGTTTGTTGCCAAAACCAGGGGATGGTTTTCTTACCTCATATTATACAGACTCCTATACAATATTTGACCACGTTTAATGTTTCTCATATCCAAACCTCCCCCCCGCCCAAAAAAAACCAAAAAACTTTCTTTGGCAAAAACTAAACCATTTAACCCACACTGTTAAAAATAAAACAACAACAAAAAATGACTACATTTTTAAATACTGGAGCAACATTTATAATGATTTATTTTTGACATGGCATATTATTAGCCATGAAATTCCTTTGTCTTTTACCCGCCAATGAAAATGATGGCAAATGGGACATGCATTTCATTAGGTAATTGGAGAATAGCTAAGTGTTCTTTTTGGGAAGCAATGGATATTAATTATAAGTGGTAATATAATTAAAAACAAAAAAGATTTGCATAAGTAATAAGCAATAAATTATTTTTCTCACTTATCAAGAATATTAATATTCATAAACTCTTTGGAGTTCTATAGCTGTATTTCTAACTAACAAACATTTCCACTTGGTTTTTCTACCTACATGTCACTTTAAGATTGAACTCAACAGCTCCTCCATTGTCTTTTTGTTGTTACTGTTTTTGTTCCTTATCTCAAGAAATGGAGCTCACGAGTCACCATTCAGTTACATTGACTTAAACTTCTGAGTCATTTGCAGCTTCTCCTTCTCTTTCAGAACCCGGTGTCCACTAGGTATCAAGTTATGTACCTCCCAAATCTGTGCTCCCCACTTTTTTTTTTTCTCTCCTGGTAAGACCATAGTTTTAGCTCTCATCATCTCTTGCCTCAATAGAAAAACAAACCGATGACTTAACCCTCTTGTTTCCAACACACACCTGTGCTAGTAATATTTTCTAAATGAGTATCTGCAGGGAACAGAGCTAGATTCATTACCACTACATTGTACTGCCCCCACCGTATTTCCTCCTGTGGTCTCCTTTCGTCTAATCCACCACTACCACCTCTCCCCCTGCACCCACACAGACATTTTAAAAAGATTACCAGATCTGTGGAATTTTGTCTATTCAAAATTGTCTTTGAATATTTTTCCTTCATTTCAGGTCCAGCTTAAAAACATCTTACCTATAAACCTTGCCTCCAATCTTGGCGGCTTACTTTCCCACCCGCCACTATCCTCTATCTATAAACACACGCCATGAGTTCCCCAGCCTTGGTCTGTTTACATATGTTTTCCTCTACCATATGATCTGGTATCCATAATTATTGAAAGGGTTTCTTCTAACTTTGTATCTAAGCTCCTATATTATCTCTGCTGTGAGCTGTTTAGTCTTCTCTAATTTCTGAGACAGGAAATCATTCAAAAGCCACCATAGCCACAACATGTTGACAAAATTATCCTTATGGAAAGAAAGGCATTGGTTAATATTTTTTAAAATATATTTTTGACATATGTCTCTGTTTTTGTGATGCAGGACATGCAGAGGCAGTTTTTTAAATGTAAAAGACTAAT